GTAATAATGAAAAACTTACTATTTTCTTAATAAATAAATTTGGGACAAGGCCTCGCTGAAACTTAAAAAAAAAAAATAATATAAAAAGTTTAGAATCATCAAATATTATAAGAGTTGTAATGATTTTTATTTGTAACTTGATGTCACAAGTTTATTTTCTTATTTTTGTCTTTTATTTATTTTTATTTCAAATAAATAACATATGAAATTAACAGAAATAGTTGATTTAGTTAATTGTACTAATTAAATATATTCTTTTTATTTAATTACTACATGTTATTACACATAATTATTATATAGTTCATTAAATTGTTACTGTTATTTCTCTATTAATTTTTCTCTTTTTATTCCATCTACTCTCTTTATTTCATTTGTTTAATTCAAAAATATTTCTTCCATTATTATTTCTTCTAAATTTTTATCTATCAAGTGTGGTTACTCCTCTTCTTCATAAATTTCAAATTTATAATCTGTTTCCTCATCATCAGTCTCATTATCTTTATTTGTTTGTTTTTGTTTAATATAAGATACATCTACTATAATTTTTTCATTTTTCCATGTAATTATTAGTTTTTGATTTTTCCAATTATATATTACTTCTACTTTTATCATCTAATTATTTTTTAATAATAAGTAGCAAAAATTTGCTTCCATGACTTTTACATTTATAGGTATTTGTTTTTCATTAAACTTGATTAAAGACTTAATCAGTAACTAGGTTAATATCTTTATCAGTAAGTATGTCAATTAGTTGATTATTAATTTGAACAATTAATTATCAATTAGTTGTTGCTAAATTGGCCATTATGATCTACACTATTGATTTACATAATTTGTATTACAATAAATAATAAATAAATAATACTAATAATATAAATGCTAATAATAATAAATATATAATATAAAATAATAAAATAAACTAATATTAAAATAATAAAATAAAATAATAAAATAATAAAAAAATGGTAAGAAAAAAAATCACATGTAACAATACTATATAAATATTAGTATCATTTGTAGAATACTATAAAATAGTATTTGTATAGTGTCGTAAAATATTTTTTATTTAATTTCTGATGTATTAATCAGATAACTAATTTTAAATAATTTATAATCAGACAATTAATTTTAGTTAATTTTATAATACAAATTATCATTGATTTTTGATTATTTGATCAGTATATATTTTAATAAAAATTTATTTTTTTTAAAATAATTTATATATTTTTATATAAAAAAAAAATTTTTTTTTAATTAATTGAAGTTATAATTACTGATTTAAAAATTATATTAAAAATTAATTGTCCTATTATAAATCAATTAAAATTAGAATTTCTTTTTGATACAATTTTTGTATCTGACTTACATCAGGAAATTTTAATAAACAAAAAATTATGTAAACTTTTACTTTACAAATTTTCACAAATTTCTGATATCTTTGAAAATTTGTGTAAAAAAATTTTATAAAATTTTACAATATTTTATAATATTTTATAAAAAATTTTCAATATTTTATAAAAATTTCTATAATATTTTATAATATTTTACAAAATTTTTCATAATGTTTTTGTTAAATTTATAAAATTTATATTTATATATAGACAAATTTTTACATTTTATAATTTATTAATAATTATTATTTTATTGTGATATTTTAAATATTATTATTATTTTATTTATATTAATTTTAATATTTACAAAAATTTTCAAAATATATAAATATTTAAAAATTATTTTTTATTATTTTTCCTCACTTTCATCAATATTTAATATTTCATTATGATATTTGTCACCTTCGTCAACTTCATCAGCTTCATCACTTTTGTCAGCTTTATCATCATCATTAGCTTCACTGCTTTCATCAACTTCATCATTATCACTATCATTTTTTTCATCTTTTTTTATTGATCTTATTTTTTTATTTTTTATTTACAAGGTTTTGGTTTCATTAATTTTTTTATTTCTTTTGAAAATTACTAGTCTTTTGAGAATTGCTGATTTTTTGAAAACTGCAAATCTTTTGAAGATTTTTTTTAACCTTTTGAAAAAGTCAGATTTGTATTCTCAATTTCATTATTTTCAATTTTATTTTATTTTTTTTAAAGTTTCATTAGTTTTCAAAAATTTAAAAATTTAATATAATATAGAATTTACTTATTAAGTTTTTTAAAAGAACTGGTTTTATTATTTCCTTGAATATTTTGATATTTGTATTATTTAGGTTAAGGACAATTTTTACAATAAAAATTATTCAGGCAATTTGTAAATTTGAAATTTTTTTTTTTTCAATTAGATATTTTTAATTATTTGAGTTATATAAGTATCTTCCTCGTCTTCTTTAACTTTATTAAATAATTTTTGAAAACTATTTGAGATAGCAAGGTTCTTTTTCCATATACTAATTTTTGTGACTTTTATTACAATACTTATAGAGGGTACTTTACAAACTTCAAAAATTAACATTTTCACTTGTATATACAAAGTACTTCACAAGACTTAGAATTTTTTTGTTAATTACAAATTTTTTAAAAATTAATTACAAAACTCTTTAAAATGCTGATTTATAAATTTTATTTATATTAATTTATATCTTTTTATGATAGAATATATCCTATATATAATTCAAGGAAGAAAAAAAAAATACTATCGGATTCTTCCATAAAAGTTTTTACTGTTTTTTTGAATTGATTATAGTTTGAATATATTATCTTCTTCAAAAGATCTTAAGCTAATTTAATATTACAAACTATTTATAAAACATTGTTAATATTATGAATATTTGTAAAATATTCAAAATTTAATATCTTTATTAATATCAATACAATTTTAGTCATATGAAAGTATTGCTACTTCTTTTTTGATAAACTTTATATTATCCTATATTTTTTCTTGATTTTTTATGATTTTTTTCTAACATTTTTATAATTTGTCAAATTTATTAAAAATTTTTTTTATCGTAACTTATAATATAAAAAAATTTAATCATTTTAATTTTTTTTTGAAACAGTTAAACATTAATATTATTTTACTATTATTATTTTTTGAAATTAAACTAGTTAAACCAGTTAAATCAAAATTTTTCAATTCTAATGTAAGATGTGAAAATGAAGAAGATGAAGAAGAGAAAGATGAAGGAAGACACAAGTTAGAGTATAAAAAAGATTAATTTTTTCTTTTAAACAATTGATTAAGATTGTTTATTCTTTATAATAATAAATAATAATAAGTAAAATATTCAAATCACATTAATTTTCACAGTATATTATTTATTATAAATTTTTTTTTTTGTAATATTTTATTTCAACTATTCATACTTTAACTCGTAATATTATAAAATATAAAAAAAAATTAAAAAAATTGAAATAAAAATATCTATAAAGTTATAAAAAATAAAGTAAAAAAAATAGAATAAAATAATAATGTTACGGAAAATTAAAACAAAAAAAAAATTAAAAAATTGGAATAAAAATACCTGTAATATTGTGGAAAATAAAAGGAAAAAAAATCAAAATAAAAATGTTTGTAATATTATAAAAAAAAAATAATTGGTACAAAAAAAAAGATGTGTAAAATATTCTGAAAATAAATGAAAATAAGAAATAAATAGAAAAATTGAACTATATTCTAAATAAGTGTATAAGTTTTGAAAAAGTTTAAAAAGTTTGAAAGAATATAACATATAATAAAAAAAAGCAAGAGGAGTAAGGCAGAGGAATATGGTATTATTATAAATAAACCAAATAAATAAGATAAACAGAATTATTTTTGTATTACATTTACATATATAAATTAAGTTTAATAAATATAAATAAATATAATAAATATATTATAAAAAATTATATATGATATATTATATATATTCAAAAAATTACATTTATTTTACAGATGTATTTTTTATAAGATATTCTTTTTTATATCATAAAATATAATATAAGAAATTGTAAAATAAAGAAAAACATTTAAAAAATTTTTTAATTGTTAAAAAAATACTTTCTTTAGTATTACATTTTTATAACAGGTAAAAAATCAAAAAATATTTAAATTTATTTTACAGATTCTTTTTATATTATAAAATGTAAGTTTTTTCAAGTTTAATGATTTTTCTCTATTAAGCGGTTTGCTTTCTTATTGGATAATTTATCTTGAATTCTGGTTATCTCTTCACTACTAATTTTAATAGATTTTTTATTGGATCCTTCAACCATATTACTAGCTTTTCCCTTTGAATCATTATCTTTATTTCTTCTATTATCAGTATTTGACATCTCTTCATCAATAATTTCTTGAGATTGGATATTAAGTTGCTTTCTCATCTTCCTAACTATTGATGATGTGCTAGATTCTGAGTTGCACCTAGGTTCCATTTTAGCTGTGATGAATTTCTCAAGTATTTCAATACTTTTATCACAGTTGGAAGATGTACATGTTAGTTGCTTACTAAGTAAAAGCTATTTTTCAATGTAAACCCTGTTATTTTTGATATCTTATGCCAGTTTCACTGATCTCTCAATCTAAATTTAAAAAGTAGACATAATAATAAATAACAGGTATCATAATGAAAGTTTGATTATCAGTAGTGACAGCTTCAGACTTACTAGTTTCAAATCTTGGATGTATCAAGAACAAAAAAGTTATGATATTTAAACTAAATGCCTGTAAAAGAAAAAATTATATACAAATTATATTTAAAGATAATTGTGCTAAAAAGAGTATTGTAGTTCATATTTTAGTTGCACAATCATTCATTCCCAATTCAGAAAATAAGCTCTATGTTAATCACATCAATAGTACTAGGTATGATAATCGAGCTGTTAATTTGAAATAGGTAACTCCTAAAGAGAATGACGAATGTACAGTATTTCGAAATCCCAATTATAGTAGTTCTAGAAAAATTGTGTAAATGACTTTAGATAGAAATGTTGTTCAAGTTTAAAATTTTATCACTCTTGTATCAAATATTCTTAAGATTTCAGAAACTTATATTTTGTCATGTTATAGCAGAAAGCTAAATACTTCTGGAGGGTGACATTGAATGTATTATGAAGATTATATAGAACAAGATTCCAATGAAGAATGGAGAGAAATAAAGTTTAATTCAAGAAAATTTAAAGTTTCATCCTTAGGGAGGGTTCAGTTACCCAACGGTTTAATTTTAAGAGGATCTTTAGATGCAGAATATCTTAGGGTCGCTCAAGAAAAATATTGTGTTTATCCTGTTGCATAAGCATTTTGCCCAAAGAAAAGGTAAAGAATATGTTAATCACATCAATAGAGATTCTACAAATAATAAAATATCAAATTTCAAATGAAGTACACCAAAAGAAAATAATTATCATACCATGCGTTGTTACAGAATGAAAATATAATGATAAAATAATATTAAAAACACCTGTAATAATTTATAATAACCCTTAGAATAATACTTAGAATTTAATATTAGTTCATGTAACAAATAGTAACAATTTAATAATTACTTTTAGTAAATATTTATAACCTGTAA